CCTAGCGCGATATTGAGGTTTTAGTGAATTTTCCCTATAGAACCTCATATTTGCAGCAAAGTGATATGGTTGAATTTTGATCTGAAACTTTGCCCACATAAACATATCAGCTAGACTAGCTTGCATAAAACTTTTCAGAACTTTTGGACAAAGTCTCTCTGAGATATGAAGCTTTCAACGTATGGACCATTTTCCATAGATAGTGTATAAAGCATGCATTTTTTGAAAGTTTCATATTTCAGAGAGACTTTCTCCAAAAGTCTTGAAACGTTTTATGCAAGCTAGTCCAGCTGAGATGTTTATGTCGACAAAGTTTCAGATCAAAATTCAACAATATTACTTTGCTGAAAATGTGCGGTCCTATAGGGAAAATTTACTAAAACCTCAATATCTCGCTAGGAATAAGCTATGGGCACGAACTTTTCTTTGAGCATTCCTAGCTCGCTAAGATCTACAAGATGCACTAAGTCTCAACTCAAAATTGCTCCAACACCTGGGAATGTTCCCTTGTTAGACTTACAGAATGAAAGTTTCCTAAAATTTTTATCCATAGAAAACGTTTTAGCTTGTAGAAATCGTTGATGATCTTGGTCTTTCATTCTGAGTAGGAATCCATTTCATCTCGGTTGACTGATCTAAATATCGGGTGTGCTTTTATCCTTGATTTCAAGACTTTGATCATAAACTGAAGACAAACGTGAAGTGCTGCTGATGACAGAAATCTTATTAGATCTTCATCGTTTACTGGGATTGTATAGATTAGAGCAAGATTTGAAAAAACTTCAACAAGCCTGGAAAATGTTTGTTAGCGTCAGTGATGATACATACTGACGCTAAACGAAGATTAAGATGATCCTTCTAGTCTAACTGACTTAGGACATCTGTCTGGACAACAGAAAGTGTGGGTTCGAGTTCCACGAAGGTCATCTTTTTCTCCGTTCTGTCACATAGCACCAGTGACACTGCTTGTCCTTTCGTTTTATACATATCGAAACTAGCAATGCTCCAGAGACATATGACAGCTAGATGAAATAATGCTGCAAACCTATTTACTTCCAAAATATATTTTTTAGTTTTCATGTGGAATTTTCACAGCTCCCGTTGACTTAGTACTACTCATCTTTTTTCTATACCTTGAATACTTGCCTGTGTGTCGTTTTCGCAACATGCATGCAAGGTTTTTTTCTCGCTCGTCTTTTGCTCATTCATTCGAGCCGAAAATGGCTTCATTTGATATTAAAATCATATGGCAGAGCAAGCAGAAAAAATGAATTTAAAATGACCCGATACATCGCTTCCCGAAAGTCATTGTGTTCTCAACTTGGTTGTGGCTATTTAATTCGGTTTGTCTAGAGTGACACGTTGCATTATACCAAATGTATGGCAATATATATCCATTTACTTATATCCATCGCCAAAACCGCTAATCGCCTTGATAAGAAGAAAATACAAGAGATATTGCGATCTGTTTCCTTCCATGGGAAATGGTTTAGATTTCACTGAAGAACTACGAATGATGACGGATAAATTACGTGATTTAATTATGAACGAAAAATGAGGGTTGACTATAGAAAAAATTGAACAAAATATATTTCTTTCCTAAAATAATATTTTAGCGGAAGAACTACTATTAAGCTGAACGAGTTCTTAGAATCACCTTAATGTTCGTCAATGTGAGCTTAATGTCGATAAAGATGACTGTGTGACTTTCTACCATCATCGAACACTTTTCAATGAGAGTTATTCATGTTCATCAAGTTTCTTTTTTTCGGAAATGAGTGTTCAACATGAAAAAAGAAATAAAATTATTTTTTCAGAATGATACAATAAAATGATCATTTTTTATGTGTTGATCATCATAGAATGTTCAACATCTTTTTAGAGACAGTCAATGAATTGAGTTAGTGATATATACATTGTCGGATGCAAAGACTAACATTATGTATAGCGTATGTCTCTAATTCGAACAGCTTTTCAAATGCCTTAAGAATTTTCTTTTTTTTCGAACACATTGATATATAATGTATGTACATATAGATTTTTTAATATTGCTTTTACTAGAGAAACGTTTGCTGAATCGAATGACCAAAAAGTCATTCAATTATATCGAAAAATAACTGAGTAATTAGTGATAGTTTGCGAATGATTGAATTTATCCTGATTAGGAGCACTGTGCCAAGCAAGAAAACTAAGCAAAAAACATGTTCGTAATTAGGACAGATTATGTAAAATGAATAGAAAGTAAAGTTTTTCGAGTAAATGAATGTTTTTACTATCTGAAATTAAAAATTTTTTGTAATTCCGTGACAAAAGTTGTTTCTTATTTATTGAGAAATATTTATCTCAATGGGCGAGAATTTTTCGACTCATATTAACTTAGATATTAAAGTTTACAAAATTGCTCCCCTGTCCTTTTTAGAAACACTGTTCTTAATTCGAACAGCCAGAGAAAAATATTCCTAATTTGAACAGTTTCTGTAAAATACATAGAAAAATAAATATTTTTAGTAAAGAAACTTTTCTACATCTCTGGTTGAAAATTTTGATGTGCTTTTTTGGGTGTGAGCGAATAGAAGAATGGAACCCACATTCACATCCATACCCAATATGAGGCGATTTCTGTATGAGACAGAGAATGTTCACCGATGAGCTTAGTAATTGCAAGAGCACCATTTCTTTAGGCTGAAAAAATAGAAACCCAACATTTTGTGGTATCGCGTAGCTCACACACAAATACAAAGTTTGAGAAAATTTTCAGCTGCCCATTTTTTGTTTTCTTTCGTTTCTCGCTGTCAGTAGCCGCTCGACTTTAGCTCATGTGTCCTATGTAAATCTTCGTCGTCTTTCTCTTCATCATCGTCGATCATTTTGTTGATTGGTTTGGTGTGTATTCGATGGCGTAGCTCGATGCCGAGTGCATCATCTTTGGCGGTTTGCATTTCGATCAAGGCCGTTCGTTGTGTGTCATTTCGAGCATATGGTTCTAAACCGCGATAAAGTTTTTCGATAGACCGAGTCACGAGTTTTTTGTCGATCACATTGGCAGCTTGTACATAATCAATTACTGCTCGAACGAACCAAAGCATCTCACCATGCATATTGAGGTTTGCTAGTGGTGGTAATTGACCAAGTTCCTGTTTTAGATTAGCGAGTAATTGAGTATTGTTAGGATCATCATTAATATTTGCAACTGCTCGTTCGATGAGAGCTGAACCGGCTTCTAAATTGAATGCATTCAGAGTACGAGTGATTGCTTGAAGAAGACCTGTTAGATGTAATTGGGTCGACATTTGTAACTACGATCTAAGTGCACTCGTTGCTTGTTTTTTTCTTTCTGTTTATATCTAGTGCCGTTCTTTCGTAATATACATCTTAATGACGAAATAACGTTGCAAGAATGACGTGGCGATAATAAAGTTTTTATGATAGAGAGACGTCATTGTGATTGGTCGATTATCACATACCATTGACTATCTAAAGTAGAAACAATGGTTTTCACAATATTCAAATGGGATCATATTCCTTTTCTTTATCTCGTACTTCTTTAGATCAACGACATCTTCATTTTACTGGTTATGATAGCAATGGAAAAGAAAAAAGCAGTTCTATTGGCTTATCTCATTCACTCAATAAAAGATCAGTCGATAAAGGAATGGAAGAGGGCGTAAATTTCTATATTGACTAGAACAATGAAATAAAAGAATTAATTAAGTAAACACTTCAAGATATTTAGGGTGTGAGTGTGGATTAGCCAGGAATACCGCAATACATTCACACCCAAATCCTGTGAAAGTACATTTAAAAGCGCTCTCCAACTATTAAAAAGCACTTGAACTTTGGCAACAATATATTTCTTCGAATCATCCAAATCTGGCTGCGGCATTCAACAACATTGCTGGAGTACATAAAAGATTAACAAACTATTCTACGGTGCTGTCTTTTTTATTGCCAAGCGCTTGCGATTCTTCAAGTCACTTTTTACGAACCATGCATTAGTGGCAGCCACACAGAACAATATCGGTTGTTTATATGTCAATAAAAGATAACTCGAATGCATTCTTTCCTTATCAAGAAGAATTCAAAATCTGATAATACTTACTCGAAATCTTAGCAGGATATTTCAATGGAACCTACGTATAATCTACTCAATAGGTGTTCTGATGCAATACTTGTTTGAAGCAATACTTGTTTGAAGCAATACACCAATGTGGTTTGTACCTACATTAAATAATCAGCTCTAGTTACTTTTCTTTTATCTTATTATATAGAATCTATAATTATGAGATTCTTCAATGAAGAGCGAACACTTCAGGATGATCAGATACTTTAACAGACATTAGTTTTTGGTCGTTTGGATTCATTTCTAAATTCGAGCTTTTTTTTTTCTTCATAGACGAAAACCTATAGAAATAACAGAATATAGAATGATCATGATGACCACCACCACTACTACGTGACAGAGAGAATTGCGATGACAAATATTTGCTTTTGTTGAAAAACAGATCATGATATGATAATGATGCATGAAACGTTATTAGTTATTATATCATTAATGAAATAATTATCTACGAATCTGCAAAATTGTACCACGAAGATATTTAAAAGAAAGATAATTTTTTATTATTATGCATGTGACATATCTCATCAAAGTTGTTATTCAAAATTACTCGACAATAATTTATTATTTTCTTTTTGTTTGAAAACATAGGTAAACAATAAGCATTGGATAATTAATTCATATTTTCAAAGCATCACTAATGTCAACAACAAAAAAACAAGGGTTATCGAACAGAAGATAAATATAAATTAAATGTAACTACAATCTATTGAATCTGCACACCAGACTTGATGTTGGACAGCTCGTTGAATTGGGGATTCGTCCCTTTTGATCGATAGGATAATGTTTGAGAAACCATGTGCACCTTATTACGTTCTGTAACAGTATTTGCCATATTTTTGGTGGGTACAACGCGAATATTCCACCGATCAAAACACATCGTGAATAATGAGCGTACTAAATTACATAGTTTAGTTCGAAAAATACGCGACGCTAATATATATAAATAAAATACTGAAACAGGAAATAGATACACAGATAATTCACCAAAAAAAAATGTAAATTTTTCAATAGCTAAACGATCAGGTGACTTGTTTGGATCATGACTCGTTATAGCAGCATAAAGCGTACAAATGAATTGAGGTGCTTTAACAATACCATAGACGATGACTTGCATAATTAGCATTGCTAATGCATTTTGATTACGTATACTCTGAAGATGTGTATTAGTACTTTGCTGAGTGGTAGGAATGCTAGAATTGATCTGTTGTTTACGTATATCTCGCTTAGTTGCAAGATTACGTCGTATAAGTAAAGTAATTGTAATCATAATTGCCAGAGGAAGAATACCGCCCGTAGTTAAGGTGTATAAATACTATGATAGAGTGCTGTTGCTTGATTATATACGATGGCACAAACACCAACAGTTTCACGTATCTCGTAGAATATTAGTGTATGGATAGGTAAGACAAGTCAACCGCCAGTAACAATAAGAATCATATGACGTGCGGCATGCACTTGTACAAATAGTTGTACACGAGCATTTCTTGAACTTGATGCATATCGATTAAGACAAGCAATAGTTATCATCCAACGTCTCATTATAATAGTCGACCGAAGTATATATGGACGTGTCTTGCAAAATGCACGTATTGTTGTAATCGGATTTGGATGATTAGGTGAATAGAGAAAAATACTACAACTCAAACATAAAGTTATTACCATTATTACTAATGCTGCCAAAAAGTCTAGAAAGAAAAACTTTTGAACATTCAACAACACGAATATCATTTATAATGGAAAGTATTCACAATTATTAGCAATCCGAAATTAGCTCCGCTGTTCAATAAAGGAATAAAGCTTTGGATATTTTCATCCCTACAAAATCTACAAAGACGTGTACAAGTTTTGCTTATTTACGAACGAGATATCTATTGCAAAATTTGGATGTAGATCCGATAATAACAATAGACTGTCTTGAAATTAAATTTTGATGTAGTAATTTTTGAAACTGATTATTCAGAGAATTTTTCAGAGACTTTTAATCGAAATTCGAGTACCATGACAGAAGCCAATTAGTCTATCATAATTTAAAAGAAATCAAAATCTCGAACATATATACAATCAAAACAAAGCAAAATTTGTATCCAATTAGCGAAGACTATGAGTGTGACTGTGAGTGTGTGGGTGTGGTCATAGGTGCGGGTGTGAGTACGATGTTTTTCTTGAGTCACACTCACACCTATACAGACGCAATTCAGTTTGTTCATGATCAAAATATTCGATTTATGACTAAAGGATTTTCGTCTAATGAAATTATTGGAAGCCAGCTAATTC